TCCGCTCTCACCCCCATCTTCCTGCAACCACCTCCTCCGATGCCTCGAAGACTCTTGGCCCTCCTGAGAAAAAAGAAAACAGAAAAGCGGGGGGTTTTCTCTTTTCTTTTTTTCCCCTTTCCCCCTGCCCCCACCCATGGGGCCTTTTTTTGGACATGGGGGCTGGGGAACGAGGGGCTGAGGTCCCAGAAGGGATTTTATTTTTTGAATTTTAATGGTAACATTTTTAGAAAAAAGAACAAAAAAAAAGAAGAAAAAAAAAAAAAGGATGAAACACAGCAACTGTAGACGCCCCCATTCCTGGTTTCTCCCTTCGCCTTCAAGCCCCTGCCCGCCTCCCGCCCCACCCCAGTCCCAGGCTCAGTCTTCCGGCCCCTTGGGCTTCTCCACTTAGACCCAAGCACAGGCACGGGGCCCCTCCTGGGCTTTTCTTTGGAGTTTTGGAGGGTCTCTAGAACCCAGCGGGGAATAGCCATTCTGGACAGGGCCAGGGGTGGGGGTGTCGCCGTGGGAGCCACTCACTGCCCCATCGCAAGTCTTCCACTCATTCTGCACAAGTCCAGCCACACACAGAGGGGTCAGCACAGCTGCTGACTGTAGGGTGGTGTTGCCACACCGCCAGCTCCGCCCGAGACTTGAAGACACACGCACACATGCACACGCACACACGCACACACACACACCCTCCTTCCAGCTGCTTCTCCTCTTGTTTCTGCCTTAATGATTCCTGTGGCCATAGCAGACAGGGTCACAGTGGCTCCCCGCCTACCTGCTCTGGGGGTGGGGTGGGGGCCAGGCCCAGAGTCCCTATCCCAGGCCCACCCCCTCAGCGTCCTCCTGACCCCCTTCCACTTCCACACTCTGACTCCAGCCCCTCACCTTTTGCCCTAGGAGGAAGCAATAATGGTGTATACCCACATCCCCCATCCTGGGCAACCCTTCCCACCCTGGCACCAAAGGATTTTCTCCTTTGTCCCCCGACCTTGCCAAGCCTCTTCCCCTATCTAATCCCTGAGCAATATGACAGACAGATGCAAGGCCATTTTTTTTCCAAGCCATGGGGGACTGTTGGAAAGGAAGGACCCCACCCCTCCCCCTCTGTGTTCTTCAATCTGGTTTTGCAGCCAGATGGGGCAGGGGCCTATCTCATTCATTGCCTGTCCCCCCAATTCTGAGCACACGGTACTGTAGCCCCCACTTCTCCAGCCTTCCATCTGTCTGTCCACCCATTTCCCCCTGCTCCATAATGCTTAACAGGGTTCATTTTTGTAGTGAAAGTAGTTTGTCCCAGCCGGTGACCAGAATGGGCCTTCCCCTCCCCCCCCCTTTTTTCTTCCTTTACTTTCTTTTTTTTTTTTTTTGTATATACTGTAAGGTTGGTTTGTAAATTATTCTACAAAGGCAAAAAGGGAAAATAAACTCGCCCTTCCCTGGCTGACCCCGTCAGGAAGGTGGGGCAGAGGCTCCCGAGGGAGGAGTCCCCACCCTGCTGTATTATACATACTGTACCATAGTCCCAGGCAAGGGTGCACTCTGCAATTTTATGGGAAGTTGTGTCATCATAGGGGCAAGGGCTGGGCAGAGCCTGCCCCCTGCCCCTTCCCCAGGAGCAGGGGTGACTGGTAAGAGACCCCCAACCCAGTCAGGGTGGGTGTAGGGCCCCTGTGAGCTGCTGGCGTGTTGTCCCCTTTGATGATCAGTCTGTCAGCCCATTGATGGATGATCGATCATTCGATCTTGTCACCAATTAAACTGAGACTTTCATCAATGTTCCTGGCTGATGTGGCTTCATTCCCCATCTTTGTTGACATGCCTCCCTTGGTTTGCGGAGATGGTGGGTCCTATTCCCACCCCTCCCTGAGCAGGTGGAACATTGTGAATTGGTGGAACTGTGCATAGAACTCAGGTTGGCCCCAAACAACACAAGTTCAGACTAAGAAGTCTTCCTGGCCCTGGGTCTGGGATTCAACCCCGTCTTGGTGCATGCAAGGCAAGCACTCTACTGTGAGCCACACCCCAGCCACCACCAACCACGAAGTCATTAAAAGTCAACAGACCTGGGTAAGCCCCACTTTTCTCACTCAGAGCGAATAGGACACGGTGCTTGGGTTCTTCTGGYACCCAGCAGTCATCCCTAAAATTCCAAGGGGACCTTAAGGAGACAACCCCTCCACTGGCTACTAAGAAAAGATCTCAGGCCAGATTCTGCTGAGCTAATAAATTTGATGAACAAGTATGAAAGAATGTATACCTATGAAAGTCCCAGCATTCTGTCCATTTTAATGTTGGTTCCCTTCACAGTGAAAAAAAAAAGTGGGGGACCTCAGTGGTAAAGCACTTGCTTAGCACGTGCAATGACTTGGGTTCCATCCCCAGCATCACAAAAATAAACATGGATGTAATCTCAGCTATGCAGGAGGCTGAGGCAGAAGGATCACAAGTTCGAGAACAGCCTGAGCAACTGAGTGAGATTCTGTCTCAAAAATGACTGGGTAGCTMGTGTTAGAGCACCACTGGGGTCCTTCCGGTACTGGGAAATAAAAATCTGTACTGAATATGCATAGACTTTGTTTTTATGGCATTGTTCTCCAAACAATGTAGAWTAACAACTATGTACACAGCCTTTGCTGTGCAGATGATGATATGGACAGATGACAAAGTCTATGGAGGACGTGTGCAGATTGTGTGCAAATACTGTGTGTGTGATTTTACRTAAGGGTCTTGAGTATCTGCAGATTTTGGTGTCCATCAGGGTCCTGGAAACAATTGCCTAACRTTACCAGGGGGCAACTGTACCATTAATTCCACCCATCAAAGCTCATTTTGGGGCGGGGGAGGTACTGGGGACCGAACTCAGGGGCACTCAACCAATGAGCCCCATCCCCAGCCCTATTTTGTACTTTATTTAGAGACAGGGTCTCTCGAGTTGCTTAGCGCCTCACTGTTGCTGAGACTGGCTTTTGAACTCATGATCCTCCTGTCTCTGCCTCCTAGCCACTGGGATTACAAGTATGTGCCACCACACCTGGCTTCAAATCTCATTTTTCCAACTTTCTCTTTTCTTTAATTTTTATTGTTGTCATTTTTCCAACTTTTATTAGGCTAACAAACCCCTAGTATCAATAAAAGGGTCCTGGTGTTGGTTACATACTAATGAACAACATTTGCAGGTATAGATAAAGATATGGAGGGTAGAATGTTTGTGATGTGGTTTATTATACTGATTTGTCTCTGGATTTTTTTTTTTTTTTTGTCTTTCAGTTCTATATCTGAGTGATCCACCCCAGCCCTGCCTCTGGGCTTTAGTAAACCAAGATACTCATATGCAGCATAGTGCTTAAGTGCTTAGATACAATCAATCACTAGATGTGTGTAAGGTGAATGTTCTGAGAATGAGAGCATCATGCCTGGGTCTAAGGAAAGGTAGATAGAAAGATTGACCTGCTTGACCTGCCTAAATTGTCACTAGCCACCAAGACTCAGCTTTTTGTCCCAGCGATAGGGGTGATCTTTCCATCCTTCAGTGGTCTACTGTAAAATAGAGGGGCTAGGGATGAAGCTCAGTGACAGAGCATGTGCTTAGCATTCTTAAGCCCTGGGTTAAATCTCTAGCACACACACAAACGCAGACCACACTCCCAGACTTGTGGGGAGGGGTTCCCTGGAATGAGACTGTCCAATCAAACTTTTCTCAGATGATAATGTTCTATATCTGAGTTATCCAACTCAGCCACTAGTCACATGTGACTGTTGGGCACTGGAAATGTACCTACATCTGAAGGAATTTTATGTTTCCTTTATATGAAGTAGTCACACTTGGCCAGTGGCTACTGGCTAGACATGCAGTTCTTGAACTAAGCCAGGGAGTTCACATAAAGGACAAAGAGTTCGCCTGCAGGATTGTGGCAGCAGAATCCCGGAGGAGTGGGGGCCATCCTGGATCCAGGGGAGAGAAGCAAAACTGGAAAACTAGGTAGAAGTTTCCAGGGAATCTGAACTTATGCAAGAAGCAAAGAGGAGGCACAGACATTGTCCCTAGAGAGTTTCAAAAGGAGGCAGATATGGGGAAAGGGCATTGGGTTGGGGGTCAGGAGTGACACCACCAATTCCAGCCTTCAGAGAATGGTTGAGTGGACTTGGGTGAACTTTTTTGCTCTCTGCCTCAATTTACCCAGGTGTAAAAAGGGCAGTTGTGATGTTCCAAACACTTCTTGTGTCCAGACATGGTGACAGGTTGAGAAAGTGGGTCAAAGGGTGAGAATGGTGCTAATCATCTGCTGGCTCCTTAAAATTGCCCCCCCCAGAAGGGGGTTACCTTCCCTCAGGCAAAGGTGACCCAGGTCAGTAGAAAGTAGCAAGGAGACCTTGAAATCTAAATAGGACCCACGGACCTAGGGAAGGAGTGGAGATGGTTCATTCTCTGAAATTGACTTGAGTCTTGGGTAAGTGGTACCCCCTCTCCCAGGGGGCTCAGGCTTGTGATAAACTCCCCACCCAACCCAGGACTGAGGCTGAAGCCCAGGGCCTCAGGCATGCTAGGTAAGTGCTCTACCCCAAAGTTCCACCCCCAGTGCTTCCTTAAATTATATTTTGAGCCAGAGTCTCATGAAACTGCCCAGCAAGGTGTGCTGGGCTTGGTGCTGCACACCTGTAATCCCAGCAGCCCTGGAGGCTGAAGTAGGAGGATCATGAGTCAAAGCCAGCCTCAGCAACTTAGTGAGGCCCTAAGCAACTTAGCAAGACCTTGTCTCTAAATAAAATAAATATTTAAAAAGGTTGGGAATGTGACTCAGTGGTTACGCACCACTGGATTCAACACCTGTTATCAAAAAAAAAAAAAAAAAGTTGCCCAGGCTCGCTTCAAACTTGAGACCCTTCTGCTTCAGCCTCCCAAGTAGATGGCGTACGGGTGTGCAGCAGGCTGTGGTAAACTCTTTAAGGAGATTATCTCATGGACACTCCGTCTGCCTTTGAGATGTGTACTATCACTGGCCTCGTTGCAAATGAGGAGACTGAGGCCTGGGTCATGATCATAATAGCAGGGGAGGGAAATAACTGCAAGTCACTAAAAATGGAGTGACAATCAATCAAATATTTAACAGATGGATTTTATTGGGGAGGGTGAGGAGAATGGGGTGAAATTCTTGTTTTTATTCTCAAATGCTTTATGGGTTTTTTGTTGTTAGTGTTGATATTTTATTTCATTGAGACAGGATCTCACTCTGGTGCCCAGGCTCAAGGTATACTCTTGTCTCAGCCTCCCAAGTAGCTGGTATGTGTCTGGGATCCCCGCTCAACTCGGATACTTATGTTATTATTTTATGTACATAAAACCTTGAGATATGGGTCCGATTTCACCCTCTTTAATAACATAAAAACAGCTGAGTTCTGGGG